GGTTGAAAGCTGAGACAGAAGGCCTAATTATTGCAACGCAGGACCAAAACCTCGCAACCAGTTCCATCAAGGATGGAACGAACCCGAAATGCAGGATCTGTGATCAATATGTTGAAATTTTCGACAAAATTATCTCAGGATGTCCGGAACTAGTAAACAACGAATAGACACACAGACATAACAAAGTAACGACATATGTGCACCCGAAGATATGCAAGAAGCACAAAATCGAAACCACTGAGAGATGGTATGAGCACCAACCAGACACACTTGCACAAAATAACGATGTAACGATATCAAACTGACAGGGAAAAAACAGCCCTGATATTATCATAAAAGACAATAAATTCAGTACCATTTGAGAGAAACAACTCCATGAAAATTATCGAGAAATTGTCCAAATACAAGGACCTGGACATCGAGATTAATAGGATGTGGGAAATCAAGACTGAGACTGTACCAATAGTAATCGGAGCACTGGGCCTCGTGAGAAAAGGAATGAATAATTTTACTAACAATCTCTCAGGTAACATCAACATACAAATTCCCAGAAGATCGCCCTACTAGGAACATCCCATATACTAAGAAAGGTGCTATCAATTAAATGACAATTCTCCTATAGGGCCTAAGGACCATAGTTTGGACCCGGTTCTACAAAGCAGGAAACATAACATATACAAATGATAATAATATATATTTTTATTGTTATTGTTATTATTATTACTATGAATATAATTTTAGTGGTACACGTGTATAAATATGTGTGTGGGTATGTGAAGATATAGATATATACGCACAAAATACATATACTTCCATAGACGCTCATACACACATATATTATTATTATATGCCGGGTATGTTTTTAAACATATGTAGACATATACTTATATGCTTACTGACATTTGCGTATAAGGTCCACGCCTGAGTTGATTGATAGAACCATCGCAGGTGTTGCGGTAAACGGTATATTGATATGAATGTATATATGCACCTGAGGACACGCATGAATGTATATATGTATATAAGGACACAAATATACACATATATCCGCGATGAGTGTTCCACCAGGGTGGGATGATGTGAAATTTTGAGGAGATAATTTGACCGGGACAGGACATTAATTCTTTTGGGGGTTCGATCCCAAATGGTTATGATAATGATGAGATTAGCTGTTTCCATACAGGAAACATTAGACATTCATTTACCGAACAATTAGCGTTACTGTCGCTTCCTATTGATAAAATCTTTTTCATGAAAATCAAATCCACTAACTGTTATCGCTCTTTCTAGTACTGATGGGAGTTTCCTTCTTAACCTTTTGTTAATGGTAATGTAGGATGCTTACATTAGTATTATATCAATAGTTCCTCTTTAGTTGAATGAGTTTTGAATATTGCTGCCACATCTAGTCTAGTGCTCCTGCTATATTTAGATTTGTTTGGGTTTTATGGCATATCAACCATTGTGGGTTATTTAATGCCAAATCCAGTTTATATGAATTTTAAATGCCTATTTTGTATGGAACATTTTTAGCAAGCTAGAGCTTATTTGCTTGCACACTTCAAAATTATCCTAGGTATTTTTTGTTTAAGTCAAGAATTTCCATTTGATTGTTTTGTTTAACGGCATCTCAACCTTAGTGGTCACTTTATGCCGAAAATGATTTTGAGTGACTTTAAAAGTAAAAAACGTATAGCTGGCAACATTATGGTTTCAAAAACGTATAGCTGGCAACATTATTTTTCTGAAAACACCATCTGAGGCCTTCCTTGCTGTTGGACGTAGTTTATCGTCATACCCAGAACGCGGGTGTAGTTTATCGTCATACCCAGGACGCACATATTTAGAGATTTTTGATAAAATCCAAAGAAAAATTTGAAAAGTTATTGGTATCTCGGCTTCAATCCCTTCCCTACCCCGTAACGTAGCTTCCCTGTGCCTTTTCTATACACATTTTTATGGTAATTATTCTGATGGACTTTCCTCTATGGCACCTAGACTTCATGAAATTAAGTGCAGTATTAGATTGGTGGCATTATTTTACAGTTTAAAGGTCTTGATGCATTTACAGTGTAAATGGCTAGTTTTATGCTAATATTTTCTTCCTCGCATTTCTCGGTGGGACTCTTTCCCGACTTCTTGCTTGTCAATTAACTATGATCTTCAAAAATCTAAATGTAATGTCAATCGTTATCTTCTTAATTATTATTCCTTTATTGTCCTCTCTCCTTAATATTACTTTTTCTCGGATTCTTTAACACTAACCTTGCTGCGTGAAAGTAACCTCATACATTCTAGTTACTTTATTTCCTTGCTTGAGGTGAATTAATTAAAAGAAAACGAACTACCCCTTTTTGTTCTTGCTGCTGTTAGAAGTCTTCAAATTAAGATGCTATTTGATAAAGCTCTTTGTCTATAATATATAGTGTTACTCAAAAAATTCCGATAAACGGTCGTGTGTTTATTAAGTGTGACCTTCTGCTCGTCAACATATAGCAACACGTCGTGGTGCAATGGTTAGTAAGCTGGTTTAGAAAACCACGAGTAGTATGTTTGATACTGAGAGGATAACAAAAACCACGTTATCCATGTTTATTTGTTGGTTTGAGTGTGTGGGTATATGTGTGTGGGTGTGAACGGACACTCTTTTATGTGTTAGGGTCTTTCTCGATGGGAACCTCCGCTGTCAACTACAGTATGTTGTATCTGTGTGAAAGAGTGTATGTATGTACGTATGTTTGTGACTGCGTGTATTCAAGATGTACTTATACAAGAGAATATATGTATGTATGTATGTATGTTTTGCGTGTATCCATTATCTCTATCTATAAAAGGCAGGATGTGTGTGTGTGTGTGTGTGTGTGTGTGTGTGTGTGTGTGTGTGTGTGTGTGTGAATGCACGGCCACAATTTTCGACGAATTTGCACCAAAATTTACATGCACATGCTCCAAGTTAGTGGAAAGGCCAATATTGACTTTGCATTTATCAACTCCCATCGATAGTGGAAATAATCGATTTTTCATGCTTCTACGGCAGTTTTTCATGTAGTTTATGGCCATTTTGTACTGGCTAGAGTGAGAGCATATAGCTGGCTGCCATGAATAGGCAGGAAGATTCTATTGGCCAGCGTGAGAGCCAACAGCTGACTGACACGAATGTTAAGTGGGAAAAATTTAAATCTGCATGGCACTTTACTTCAATTGGCTCATTCGCTTGCTTAAACTCAACTTTGATTCTGGGTTGGATGTGAAAAAGTATTTGTTGTTAATATTCTTTTTTCATTCGGTTTTTCCAGTTACGAGTCCTTTTTTAAAGCTGATCGTTTTGTGTTCATTTTGTTTAGTTCTTTTTTCGTAACAGATTTAATGTTTAGTATAGAGCTTAAAAAAATTCGCAGTGTGAGATAGGTAAGAAGTAAGGCATATAGCAACATCAGCACGGAAAAGGGCACTCCTTTAAAGGCAAGGAAGGGCAAAAATATTTTAAGTCAAGTGATAACGATTGCTGTATCAGTCGTACGATTTTTTGAATCAAGCACGGACAACGCCAGGCCATGCTGCTATATATATATATATATATATATATATATATATATATATATATATATATATATATATATATATATATATATATTATAGTTTTAGTATTATACATATATATATATATATATATATATATATATATATATATATATATACACATGTGTGTGTATAAACTAGCTATAGGGTCTATTGATTGGGTCTTCATCACAATAGGTAGGGAGGAATAGATGCGATAGGCAACAATCAACTTCAGAACTCAAAATTGATCGCTGCAATTAAGTATTGCATTAATATTTAAGTTTACCTTTTAAAATTTCAACGATAATTCTTCTGCCGCCATTTAATTTAAAGACAATTTGATGTATGTAATTGTAATCCTTACTTTCCATACAAACAATTGTTTTTATTTCATGGGTGACTTTCACTGGATTTCACAATTAATTTATTTCCAAGTTACGAAAAATTGTTATAGCACAAAAAATTCGTCGCAAAAAATCACGTAAAAATATCGCCGAAAACAATTGCAATAATGAAAATTTGGCAGTCCAAAATTTCAGAATTGCGGCTCCGGATTCAACACAGAATAAAAATTAATTTGCTCACTGAGTCGGCCTGCTTCCAAAATGGTATGATATGTTGAGCTACGGCCTCTAGGCGTAAAGTTGAAAAGTGTGACACAGTGACACACTGACATTTGTATTTATTACATATATATATATATGTATGTATGTATGTGTGTGTGTGTGTGTGTGTGTGTGTGTGTGTGTGTGTGTAAGTGTATCCACTTTGTGCGTACACCTGAAAGGAGGTATATGTATATCTTTGCGTGTTTCCCAATATGAGTGTGTGTATGTGTGCATGTGAGAAAACATGTGTTTCTGCGTGTGTCTAATGTGTGTAAATATATATATGTGTGTGTGTGTGTGTGTGTGTGTGTGTGTGTGCGTGTGTGTGCGTGTGTTCCTAGGAAAAAAAAAGCTAACAGGCAAATGAATTCCCTCGTCCGTTTTTCGCAGAACCCCACAGGTCACAGCCCCCTTTTTTCATCAACCACCCTCCGTTCCATTTCTGTCCTTACGGGCCCCAACCCTAACCCCACCCAGCTCCCAAATCCATCTTTGCTAGAATACCAAAGCTACAGTCGGGTAATATTGGGAAGGCGGGGGTTAAGATTAGCGATCAGGGAGTAGAATCAGGGAAATGGTTCAAGCGGCAGGGGAGGGCCTCTTCATCAGAGAAGCGATGCTTGATAAAAAGCGGATGTTACTGTTCTTATAGAGTGGGCCTTTTTTTTTCTTTTTCTTTCTTTCTTTTTGAAATAATGAAAGAATAGAAAAAGAAACGAAATGTTTTTGCCTTTAGGAGTGACAGTGAGAGATAGAGGTAGAGAGAGAGTGAAAGAGAAGAAATATTAAGCGCGAGGAAAAATCAAAAAGCAAAAAATGAAGGGGGAGTTGTTAAAGATAGTGGGTGTTGGGTGATGAAGAATTTAGAATTAAGAGAGAAGAGGAAGCTGTAAAGTAACAACCGAAGAAAGAAAGAAAGAAAGAAAGAAAGAAAGAAAGAAAGAAAGAAAGAAAGAAAGAAAGAATGAGGTGGGGAATAAGTGAAAAAAAGCATTCTGAAGGAAAAATATAGAAAGCTGTAAGGCTAAAAAGAGAAATCTTAATCGGGGTGGCTGGAAGACTAGTTAAGTATTGTTTTGTGGTCAATTGATAGGAAGACAAGAAAAGCATTCTAAGATGGAGGAAGCGAATGAAAACGAGGCGGGACGCCAGGATTGGTTTGCGGATTAAAGAACATATAAATAAATGAAACAGACAGAGACTAATTGAAATAAACAATGATGGAGGGAAAAACGGTAGGGTTATATGGAATGTTTAGAAAATAGGGTAACATTCAATGGGAAAAGAAGGTAACAGCAGAAAGGGGAGGTTGCGTGGGGAGAGGAAGGCAACTTGGATGGAGGGGGTTAAAGAATGCAAAGAGTTTGGATTAAAGAAAATGAGAAAATGTGAATGGGGAGGAGGAAATAAATTCAACAGGATTAAATAGATAGAGAAAGCTTAAGAGGTAAATATGAACAGGCTGAGCTGGGATAGATAGATAGATAGATAGATAGATAGATGATAGATAGATAGATAGATAGGAATAGGACTGAGATAGATAGATAGATAGATAGATAGATAGATAGATAGATAGATAGATAGATAGATAGATAGATAGATAGATAGGAATAGGGCTGAGATAGATAGATAGATAGATAGATAGATAGATAGATAGATAGATAGATAGATAGATAGGAATAGGACTGAGATAGATAGATAGATAGATAGATAGATAGATAGATAGATAGATAGATAGATAGATAGATAGATAGGAATAGGACTTAGATAGATAGATAGATAGATAGATAGATAGATAGATAGATAGATAGGAATAGGACTGAGATAGATAGATAGGAATAGGACTGAGATAGATAGATAGATAGATAGATAGATAGATAGATAGATAGGAATAGGACTGAGATAGATAGATAGATAGATAGATAGATAGATAGATAGATAGATAGATAGATAGATAGATAATGGACAATAAATAAATAAATACGCAAAAGTAGAAAGAAAAGAAAAATGCAAGCGAAAGATTTCAAAAATGATCAACTCTGCGGGAAAGAAGAAAAAAAAAGCAACAAAAACCTGAGATGAAGACAAATTGATAAAAGAAGAGACATAGACGGTCAGATAAGTGAAAGAGATGGACGCAGCTGGAGAGGAAACAAAACAGATGAAAAAAGGTTGGAAAATACACGAGATAAGATGAATTTTTGCGTTAGTGTCAAATGATAAACACAATGCTAATACAGAGTACTGTTTAACGCAGATAATGTGCTGTTAAGATCCAACCAATATCTACATGTTAGTTCCAGCCTCGCCAGCCACAAGTGCGTTAGTCCCCACCGACACTTACACCAACATTCCCCACCCCTTTAATTCGGCTACGCCTACTCCTTCCCAAGTTCTTGTACACGAGACAATTTTTGATGGCATGCAGACTTTTTTCGCTATTTTCTTTTTAAATTAATTGTAACTATGGCATGACCTCCGAGAAAATGGCTTCTTGTAATCTGTTTACATTCGCCTAAAGATACTGCCATGTAAAAAAATACCTTTACTGAAGTCAGGTTCAAGGCTTTATTCTACTACGCCCAGGAATCGAAAAGATGGCTGCTTCATTATCTACAAACTATTAGAATGTAAGATATTGTTCGGTTATCACGCCAGCGAGTGACAAGGTGTTGACATAGATTTAACAAACCAATCCACTAACAATTTATTCACTGAAAAAGAATAACTAAAAACTAACAATGACCCCTTATCGTTGTGCTTGCTTAAGATAACGAGTTCAAAATAGTTAATCTCTTGTAGACGTGTAAATTTGCGTTAATTTTCTTCTGGAAATAGTTTATTTCTAAAAGAAAAACAAACAAGTAAACATATGCACAAAAGCTCACCAGGTCAAATAAGCTTTGTTTTTATTTTATTTTTTTATTTATTTTTTTTTTTTTCTGACATCAACAAAGATTAATGTTCGTCATTGGCCTGTTTTAATGAACAACTAGGCTATTTTGTAGGTCCCGGTAAAATAGACATCAAAGAAATTCGCCGGTCCCTGTAAAATAGAGACTAAGGCTATTTTGCCGATCCCGGTAAAACAGACATCAAGGCTGAAAAAAACAATCGGTAAAATTTTGCCGGTACCGGTAAATTAGACTCCAAGATTATTTTGCCGGTCCCAGTAAAATAGACACAAAGGGTATTTCACCGGTCCCGAGTAAAATAAACATCAAAGCTATTTTGCCAGTCCCGGGTAAAATAGACATCAAGGGTATTTTGCCGGCCCCGGTAAAAGAGAACCAAGGATTGCCTAAAATAGACACTGACGATTGACCCTTAAAGTTATTAAGATTGTACTTGGAACATGTACATAGAAGCATCCCTGCGGCTGTCGATATCACAAAGTAGCCGCTCTTGGGAAAAAATTGTCTGACTAGTAGTTTGTCCTTACATTTGGAATACAGGTGAAATGAGGACGATTCGACCCTGTGGAAGTAGCATCGCGCGTCTGACGGAAAATAAATATATTTCAACTATTTTTCCGTACAATTGTGGTGTTTTGGGAAGCATCCATATGGGAGTCTGTTCCACAAAGTAACAGTTCATGGAGAAAAGATGTCGGTGTGGAACTTTCTCTTTACATTTGGAACAAGGGTGAAATGTGGATGATTCGACTCTGTGGAAATAGCATGACGTGCTCCAGCGTTGTCTAAACTTGTGGATCTAAAGCATAGAGCTTATCTGAATATGCACTATGAAAATTGCGACAGGCTTGCGACGCTGTGTCTGTGAAAAAAGATGCTGTAGACCAGTGATTCCCAAACGGTGCAGCGCGCCTCGTAGGTTCGGCGGAAGAGGATAGCAGGTTCGGCGGAAGAGGATAGCAGGTTCGGCGGAAGAGGATAGCAGGTGAGAAGGAATCATTCAAAGGCAATCAAAGATTTAGAAACAGTTTCAAAAAATAAATATATCAAAATTTAAAATATAAGTTTCTTGTAATTGCATGAATGTATCCCAGTGTAAATAGCTATAAATAAGGAGGAGAGAGTTATCAATGATAATGTTCCGATTTTGAATCCACATTTATCTCCCTTTAACCCACTCTTTTTTTTAATTTTAAACGTACTTTTTATCACATAAAATTTGGTGAAGTGCGAGCACATTTTCATTCTGAAAATGCGGCCCAGGGGAAAAAGTTTCAGAACAACAACTGTAGAGAATGTTAAACAATCTATATCATAAAAGAAGAACTGATTCTCTGTCCATTAGACACCGTCTACATGTTACATTACATACGCCTTAATAATGTATACACGTACGTCTGTGTTGGGTGTAAGTGACTTATATGTGCTTGCGCCATTTAAATGAACACACGAGCACACACTTACAATTTAAGTGAGTTTGAAATAAACATTGGAATAATGCATTCTTCTACCACTCAGTCTGGACAACTCATATCCTGGGCTGAACAATAAAATAATTAATTTTGACAAAAATAAAACTGTTTCCGGAAATCACGGTTATAAATAAAATGACTTTTAAAGTTTTTTCTCTTTTAATGTTATAGAAATATTTTAATTCTATTGCTGAATTAAGATATACATGCGCACACGTTAATATATATACATAACTCAAATGAAATTGAAATGGATATATATATATATATATATATATATATATATATATATATATATATAAGTGAACTCTGAAGTCAACATTCAGAGGCGACAGACTGTTTCATGCTAAACGCAATCATCTGAGCGTCGACTTCAATGTTCACTTTTATATTTATATACCCTCTATCTCTGATAGTGAGCACTTTATCCCATAAATATAACACACCTTAAAACTATATTTCTTCATATATATATATATATATATATATATATATATATATATCGTCGGTCAATTTCTCTTTCTATCTGACAACAAACCCTGAATAACAGGAAAAAAGTAAAGACTGAAATATGCAGTCCTTTGAAGTCATTTATTATTACTGTATTTAAATTGTGCATTTTCTTTTTTAAGAAATATAGTATTTTAAATAGACAAATAATTTAGATTAGAAATTTGATCAACTTATCGACGCGCCGGTGTCCGAACGAGTTATGTTCCTTTTCTGGACAAATTAGTCATTTTTTATATGTTTCATGACACAAAAAAATGTTATGTTCATAGCATTGCCTTATGACAGTGGTTAACGCGATAATCTTGTAAACCGCTGAAAGTTAGCTTGCGCGAATTTCTTTCCCAAGTTGACTGTGTTCAACAAATTGTTGGATTTACTTATCTCTGTATCTGTCAGTATGGGTAGCTATCATTCTTTATCTAATTGCCTTTGGCCAATTTTGCGTCTGACCGTTCGTAAGCCTGTTCGCTCACCCACAAAGCAAACAAAGGAGCATAGACTGACAATTCCGGACCTATCGTCTCAAGTTTCCCGGAAGCAATTGCAAATAAATCTCTTCTTCTTTATGGGCCGTTTCCCCTCAGGACGTAAGCGGCCATGGCTCTCCAAAATTTCCTGTTCATTATAGCTCTTTATAAAATGTTATCTTTTTGCTATTTATCCTAAATCCTGTTCTACCATCCATTTACTTAAGCTCATCAAGGATGTTGTGCACTGTTTTCCTCTCTCGTCCTGTGTGCATCAGATTTTCCAAGCCCTCCTTCCTCATTACATCCCCTGGAAATTTCAACTACCCCTTACTGAATTTCTTTTTCCATTTTCTCCAAAACCTCGTCATTGCACACATGTTCGATCTATACTCAGTTAGCATCCTTATGTGGAACCATATCTTTGTTGCTTCAAGTTTTTGAGGAGACTGTCTCGTATTCACTGCCATATAAGAGGACAGATATCACGTAACAACTCAATACTCTTTTCTTTGTTTCTAAATCTCAATCCAACAAAAATAGCTTGGACTTGGGCTTAATATTTTTAAACTTCCCCGGCATGTGCCAGGGAAGATTTTCTCGTGTAGCTATCTGTTAGGATTGAAATTCATTGCAAATGATTTTACTATAGAAATTCATAACAAATCACAAAGAAAGCTTTAGTCAAAGGTAAGAAAGTAAATTAAGCGTTGCTAACATAAAAAAATTGTTATTATCGTAATCATTATTATTGAATTAGAGAGCTTCATGCCAAAAAAGTGACCCGAAGAACAAATGTATGAAGCCTAATACATCTGTCATACCTAATACATCTGTCATACCTAATATATCTGTCATACCACACAAACTGGTAAGGGTGTAACAGTCACACGCATCAAAGCCAAATGACAGGTTTTGATAAAAGCATTTCATAACCAGTTAGGTGAGGTTTGGGTTACCCAGTTGGCTTAAACGGTTTCCGATTGTGGGCATTTCCAACAATTTAAATGTCACCCTCAAATCACTTTAGTTGCCATATTCTTCAAACTTAAAAAGAAAATAACTTTCACGACACCCACTACGCCGGCTCATGAACTGAGATGCATAGTGTGTCTGCTCCAAACGAACATGCGCAACCGGTTAAGGTCCTGCAACTGATAAGTAAATTTATGCTACTTTACGGGATATTTACTCTAATCTTTCTTAATTGACCAAGACAAAACATGTACAAGTTAACACCTTTAACCAATTAAGATTAAGCCATGAGAACTATTTTTGGTCTAGCATCGGGACATTTATAATAATAATAATAATAATAATAATAATAATAATAATTTTCAGATATAATTTTCTCTGTGTCCTGTCTGGACAGAGTCAGTCCTTCTGCGAATCTCTAATTTATCCAATCACGATTCTACTATTTTTAGTACCGTTCCAAGTGCTCGAACTATTATGGGAACAACTCTAGCCTTTATGTATCAAAGCCTTTTTCCTCCCAGGTAATCGTGATGGTAACATCTATTAGTGTCCCAGATATGGGTAACTAGTGAATTTTCAAAGTGGAATCGAAAGATGGTGAAAGTATAAAAATATATTTTTGTAGTAAAATACCAAAGATACATTTCATAGTAAAAAAAAAAAAATACCAACAAAACATTATTGGAAAAGGGGGAGAAAAATTAGAAGCACTACATTTTAGAAAAAAAAAATACCAAACCTCCCAAGGAAATTAAATTTCGGCATTAAATGACCTATAAGGAGTTGAATAAACCAA